AGTGAAACTCACCTTCGTATCTGTGAATGTATAACAAGGCGAACATCTTAAAACCATTCTCCAGCTTACCTTTTGGAGCTTCGGATCAATGTATCATTAATTGTTACCTTGGGCAAGTTCAACAAGCACCAAGTGTAAAATGCCATTTTCAATAGACCGGAAGCGACCGAGCCGCTTATCCCCGAACACGGAAGCTGACGTGCAAAGAGCCCATAATCACAAAATATCAAGCCTGAAAACATAAAACCTTAACGAACCGAATGTTCTGTTCTTTGTGTGGGAAATGTTTGCGTGTATTTTGGCGTTAAATCCTGATATGTTAGCGGCGTTGTTGCTATGGTAACAAATCTGTGAATAGCAAGCCGACATAGAGAGCTAGATAAGAGAAGAATAAGAGTGGTTTTGAGTTAATATTAAATTTTTTTTCTGTGTTATTTTTCCCTTTACTGTGGCATACTCCACTAAATTAATAATACATCTTCAGGAATTATTTTGGTCACGGTAATGTTCTACCGCTGCTATGTATGGCATGTAAAAGAATCGGCAACTTTTACCCTTCAGCGTTGTGCGCATGCGAGAGACTTCCGGATGTAAACAAAAACATGCAACAACATACAACTTCCGTTTGACCGGACAGCCTAGAAGTGGGACGATTTTATGCAAACTAACGCCGAATTAAAATAATTCCACAAAAATGTCCGAATTCGCACAGAATCATAAACATAGAATCTCAAATAACCTATTTGGGCAATTTAAATAAAAAATGTTGATTTGGGGTTGAGTCTCACTTTAAGAACTACCGTCTGTGTAAATGGATCGTTTGTTCCGCCACTCAGTTGTGTGGGTTTATGAAATTCTCGCTTTCACTTTCTTTTCTTGGTAAAACTTCGCTGTGGAGAAATTAAAGTTTCGTCTGTCCACGCATCTGCTGCGCTCTGACACGTCTACTCGCAGAGGTCACTATGGAGAAAAAAAGCGAAGATAAACCCGGGTATGCAGCGTTTCTGTTGCAAGAAGTAAATGATCAATTTGATTTACTTGCTTTAACATTTCTGCTGGAGGCTTCTGCACTTTTGCGACCTACTTGGCTTGATCGGTTTCTGTAAAAACTGGGTGTGGAAATGACAGCTGAAAAGATCCTTATAAATGATCTAGAATACATTCGAAAAGTTAATTTAATCGTGATTCGATTGAAAAGTGAAATTGAGATGTGTTGACTTATGAGTTTATGGCTTACGGAAACTTATAACAAAAATAAAAGTTTCTTAAACTATACAATGTAAAACCATTATTTTTAATTAATGTTGTCGTTAACATAAACAATCTTGGGAAGGCTGTTGGCTTGACAGTTCCTCTTTAGCAGCAGTAGTTTGAGTCGCCGTTGCTAAAGAAGCTGATTGTTCACAGAGTTCTGTATCCACTGATGGAAAATTGAGAGAAAGGAAAAAGTGGAGCTTTGTGTTTTCCTAAGCAAAGTTTATTTCAAGTGATGTATTTTAAGTACATCACTCTTTTTAATGAATAGAGAGTAAGTTTAAATTGTGTTAAAGTGATTATAACTGATTCTAGTTTATTTAAAAGTATTTCTAAATTGCAAATACAAACCTGATTGTAAAAATTAATCTGTCAGCAGATATAAGCTCCACCAATCAGGATTTTTATACACTTTTATTTACATTAAAGTAACTAATATTGTAGCAATAGTTAACCTAAACAGAAGCAAATATGCAACTACCAGGAAGTTCTTAAACATAAAGAATAAAAAAAACTTTGGAGGGAAGAAAAAACAGCACGATGAGGAGACAACAAAGGCTCTGCAAAGGGAAAACCTGGGAATAAACACAGTGAGGGTAAATTAGCAATGTGACACAGCTGTGTTCACTAGGTAAAAGGAAAAGCTTTCATAAACAAACCAGATATCAGACACAGTTATAAACGAAGACAAGAAGATATCAAATAAAGAGCTACAAAATACAAACCCATGGACAGCAGAAACAGGTAGCAAATGAACTTATTTCCTGAAGCATTTTAATATATTTTAGATAAAATAAAACTAGTAACGTCCTACAACTTACTACTTCCTCACACTCTAAATGTGACTGGGCTAAGTTAATATTTACAAAATAAATACTAGTAGCCTCTTCATAAAAAACTGACTGTGTGTAGTTTGGTATATTATGTTGATTTTATAAAATTGTAATTTATCAATTGAATTTTACTTTCTGTATAAATGCTATCAGCTTAATTATATTTTATCAGTAAGGTAAACAATATTGAATAATAAAATTTTACTGTATGATAGCGCCTTGATTTTACACTTCTGCCACAGGGATGATCCCACAGACATAATTCAATCAATTGTTTTTGTTTAAAGTTAAATTTGTTCAACATCTATTCAGTTATATCCACTGTCACTTTGTTACCATCATTTATAAAACAGACAATTGTCACACTTTTCTGAGTTCACATGGATACAAATTTCTGCATGGTTATAGGTTTTTCCATTAGCTACAAGATGTCCAAAATTACAAAAATATAGAGGAATAAAGGTGTCAAATGCACAGCATCATGTTTTTTACTTGTTAGGTAAAACTAGTCATTTTTCATGTTTTTTCTGGTCTCTCTTTGTTTATAAAATATCAAAAATCTTGAGCTCAGAGGATTTACTTTTGCTCTGAAGTTTGAAAGGTATTTTGCTAATTCCAGTTCTGTTCAGTGTAATGTTTTGCTCTCTTGCAGCTTCAGTAAACCATGTCTTTATGGCAGCTCCTTTTTAAATACCTTTGCAAATCATCGTACTTCCAATTCATACTTTATTCTCCGATTCACTTAAAGGAGAGGGGGGAAAATGGGATTTGTTCTCAAGAACACTGTTTTTGACAAAAGTTTGGGTTGAACTACTCAAGAAGTCTAGATTTTAGAAAAAGAAATTTGTTGTTTTGTTTTTCAGTGTATAGTCTGACACATATTTTCTTTTATTAGTGTGGGTTTCTTGTTTGGACTTCCCAGCAGCTCCTCCTCCTTTGTTCCTCTAAGCAATCCTTCGCCTCCTGCTCCTACTTTGACCTCATCCAGGTTCACTATTTCCAGTCAGTTACAAAATGACAGCACAAAAGAGAAAAAGAAGGGAAAACCTGTAGAAATCCCAGGTAAGCTACTAGCAGACATTCATTCTTTAAAAAATCATCTCCAACACTAAATTTGCACATTTATGTTAAAATCAGTCACTGCTTTACTTTCTTTGGTTTAAATGTACAGTAAACACAACTCCTAGAAACCAAATATATGTTCTTTGGAAATAAACCTAAGTTAATATTTGAGTAAATGTGCAGTTTTTGCAAATCAAAGTTTGAGAAAACAGTAAAGATAAAAAAAAACCACGATATATTTAGTCTCAAGTTTGACAAATCTAAAATAAATTAAAGTACATTAAAGAAGCATTACCATGTCAATTACCATTGACATTGTAATTTCTTTACACACTAACTTTTATAGGTTTTGAAATATAAAGGGTTTTCTTACATTTACTACAGCTGGTAGTTAATAATATTTTATTTGTCGAAGTTTTTACAGGATTTCAGTCAAAACTGGAATCTCAGTGGAGAGATGTTCAGTGGACCGAAGAGTGAGTACATTTAGCCTCCACCTCCCAGCATGAATGTTGTTTCCATCTTCCTCTGATCCTTTAATCTTTACATTAAAGGCAGAAGAAAAGCCTGATGAAGGCTGTTAGCTCCTACAGACCCAGCTGTAAGGATGTGCCTCAGGCCCGGGTTCTCCTCCTCGGACCGGTTCGTTCTGGGAAGTCCAGTTTCATCAGTTCAGTCCAGTCTGTGTTTAATGGGAGAGTGACGAACCGTGCCATGGTGGGCTCCTCCTTCAACACCAGCTTCACTAAAAAGGTAACGCTTGACCAGCAGTGGACACATCTTCAAAGGATGTTTTCACGCCTGATGGATGGTTTGTTAATGTTGGTTGATGTGCACAGTCCTGATAAAATAGAAAATTAATCTTTTTTAAAAATTTAAACCATGGATCTTTTTGTGTTGTTCCATGACATGTTATACCTCCAAACTGAAAGTTTCTGCCTTAATTAGTCTCTTCCCCCTCCCCAATGTTCTGGCTCATTGTAGAAAGTGACACATTCATATTGAAAAGGTCTTTTTAAAGGGGATGTATTCCGCTAAATTAACATTTTGCTCATTTTTGTACTTCCATTTGGGTCTCAACTGTTCCTAAAAACAATCCAAGCTCTTTGAAAAAAGACATACAGCTTCTTTTTGGGAATAAGTTGATATTTTGTTGGTGTTTGGAAAATTAGCCGGTTGAAAAATCATCTGAATGTAACGTCACAAATCAGCAGGCACTGCCCCGTTACCTAGCAACCCAAGCAGAGCTCCATGATGTTTGGTCAGCTGGTTTTATCGCTGTATGGGGTGTACAATGGCTGCTGGAAAAGACGAGTGTTTTTGTTGTTGACTTACCATCCAGAAACCACCTACTGCATTCTTGTTGGCTGCGCGGGAGGCTCCACTTCTGCTTTCCAAAGATGTACAGTTGTATAATTATGCATCAGTTTGCAGCCATTTCAACAGTGAGTTGGGGGGGCGTGGCCAGCAGCAGCTTATTTGGATTTAAAGTGACAGGAGGAGCTGTAAGAGCTCATTCTAAAAGAGCTCAAAATGGACAGAACTAAAATGTTATCTAAGTATGGTTTTGTGGGAGAAAAAAGTGGTGGACAGTTTTGTATAGCTATCCTAACTTGTTCAAGGAAGCATAATGCGGTTACTTTAAACAAAGCAACCGGTGTCGTTTCTCCAGTCCACCATGCCCTGCTGTTCAACACTCCACTCTGCAGATTGAAGGCCTACCTTTTATTTCTCACCTCCTTTAATAAACAGTAGAAATACAGATTTTTTTTTTTTATTTGTCCCTCCTCTCTCTTGTTGACGAGTTTTGCTCATGAGCTTTACAGCATTAACTTTGACCCATTTTGTCAGCTACAGTCCTTCAACATCCGTGGTCAGAATGGGGAGGACAACACCGGGCTGGTGCTGTGTGACATCATGGGCCTCGGCGACGGAGAGACGACCGGGTTGACGCTACACGACATCCTGTCCGTGATTAAAGGCCACGTTCCTGAAGGGCACAAGGTAGGACGATTATATCTGATTTTTAAAATCTTCTGAACGCATATTCCTCAGAGTTGTGGGGGAAAACTCACTCTTCGGTTAACTGTTCAAAGCTTGATCTTTGAACTTGTCTGCCTCAGTTCAGTCCGGATCAACCAGTTGGCACAGAAACGGCGGGGTACGTGAAGACGCCCAGCCTCAGGGACAGAATCCACTGTGTGGCCTTCATGGTGGACGCCTCGAAGATTTCATCCTACCACAAAGGCTTCGGCTCCACCTTCAAACAGCTGCGAGAGTACATCAGCGAGCTGGGTGAGCCAACGCAGACGGACACACATAAACAATGTAAATTAATCACTGTTTTGCATGTAGCTTTAACTGGTAAATGCTTTTCAAGTGTCATTTTCTGCAAGTTGAATCAAAGCACAAGAAATATACTTAATAGAAAATCATAAAGTATTTCTAATTGAAGTGTTAGAGTCTAAGACTAAGAATATAATCATTACTAACAGATCTTTAGAGCATTTTATGTTTTTTAAGCATTTTGGCGATGTTGAGGGAATACAACTCAAATTATATTTCCCCCCCCCCATCTTTGTTCTTCAAATAATCCTAAACTAACTCACACAGACTAGTTTGTTCACTTAACACAAACTTATACATTAATTTCTGTTGAGCATTTGTTTTTTTGTCCACCAGATGGCACTACTACAAAATGTCATAATTACATTTTCTGCAGAGGTTCCTCCCTGCTGAAGTGTTTTTTTTCTCTACTGTGATGAAAATGATGTGGATGATGGCTATTTATTTAGGGCAAGTGTGTAGCAGTGTCTTTAAAAGTACTTTTAAAAGATTGACGCATTTAAGGACGTCCTGCCCTTTTGATTGTTACAATGCGGAAAAAGACGATTGCATAATTTTACCAGTTCCCCCAAAGTTAGGATTTCAAATGACCTTCAGGGTTATTTAATTTTTTTGTTTTGTTTTAGGGGTTCACCAGGTGGCTCTGCTGACCCACGTTGACCAGATTTGTCCAGAAACGGCCAGAGATGTGAGCAATGTTTACAAGAGCCTGAGCGTTCGAGATACGGTGGGTGGAAATGTGTAACCTAAAGTCAGGTTTTATACTTTCTCCAGAATTGCACAGCATTCTGGGAGAGTTAGACAAAAGTAGGAACGATTAGCTGCTCAAACTGTCAAAGCCAGCTAAGCAAGATTACTGGCATCAAATAACTCTCACTCTTTGGTTACCTAGCAACGAGCTGTTGAGTAACTTGTGGTTACCTAGCAACGAGCTGTTGAGTAACTGGCGCAGCAGCAGTTTAAGGTTTTGCCACTGTGCAAAACCTTAAACCTTAACTGTTTAAAAATAAATAATGGCTTAGAGTGAAAACTGTGGATCAAACAGGAAAGGTTGCATTGCAAGATTTTTTATTGCTTAGTAAGACTTTTTATTATCTTAGATATTTGAAACAAAACTAATTGATAATTATCCATCGACTGATATGAAATGCTTATATTGTGATTTTTTTTTTTCCACCTTATAGTCCAGCCCCAATAAACAATATTAAAATATTGTAAAGTTATAGTAAATTTCTTTGGAGTTATTGGGATGTATTAAACTGACAATGCATCAATTCATACCTGCTGATGTACAGGACTACCTACTAATGTATTGCAGTTTGCATTAGTGAAATAATTTTTCGTTGAAAGTTAGGGCACCAAAAGTGGCTCCAGGGGCCCACATTTTTCTGTTTTATTTACTTTTTATCTAATGCATAACAGAAGTTGCACTAAGTTTAATTTCAGACAACTTTTGTGTTTGCTTTAGTTTGGACTGAAATGTAAGAGTTGTGTGTTTGCAGATGAACAAAGCCGGAGCTCTTCTGGGCATGTCCACCTCCTACATCGTTCCAGTGAAGAACTACGCGTCAGAGCTGGACCTGGACCTGAACACCGATGTGCTTCTGCTCAGCGCCGTTGACCACATCCTGCAGTACGTCGACATATTTTTCCAGGACTACGCGCCTCGGCACACGGGGTCAAAGATGATCTGATGCTTGAGCTCCTCAAACATTACGTTTTCATTTAAAGCAAGTCTGATATGAGCACTTAAGGGGAACAAACTCTGTAGCAAACTTTCAAGCAAATTAAATTTTTTTCCAAGCTTTAACAGCTAACTGAGTGAACTCATTGTTTTGTGTTGTCTGTTACTTTTGAAATTGCACAACTGTTTGAATAAGTTTTGTGAATGATGATGTGTGGCATATGCCTAAACCAGTTGTGGTCTGAATTTCAGCTTTTAACTGAAGAAAAAGGAAATAAAGGGTATTGATTTCAGTTTCAATGAGTTTGCTCCTATGTTTAATTTTTTTCTTCTTCCTGAAATTAAAGTATGGGTCAAAAGACAGAATCTATGGAGAGTGAAGAGTTTTAAATGGACACATTTAAATAATTATTTTATAAGCTATTTATTGTCATTTATTATTTAATGGCACTCTTCCATCTCCTTAAGAGGCAGGAGATTTGGAGCAGTAGATTAGAATTAAGTTTTGAAAATGTGCATTTTTCTAAGAACAATCCAATATGCTCCTAATATATTTTTAAAAAATATATAAAAACAATAATAGTCTTAACTGTGAAATTTGCAAAGCATTGATTGAGGAAACAATGAGAGGTAACATTTTAAAAAAAAATGTCTGCTGACATATGGTAATCACTAAAGAGTGATTAATAATACCAAGATCACAATCCTACAGCAAAAGCTCTTTTTCAGTTTTACAATAAAAATATTTAACAATAAAATTTTATTTACTGGACAACTTGTTAAACCAGTGGAAAATCGCTCCTTTCAGTCTCCTGGTGCCTGAAACTAGCCATAAATCACTTTGGGGAGTAATTTATGACCTTAATAATTAATTGCTTTTAATTTTCGGTGACTGGATAGAAGATGTAACTAAGACTCAGTGAGAAAGGGTATTTCAGAAGAAAAAAAAACACAGATTCACTGAATGAATGTGTTTGATTTGCAGCATATATTTGAATGATGCAAACACCAAAAGAAAATGTTTTCTACGAAACCTGAATGGCCATTCAGTTTGATAAATATTTTACACGGACCATCATTTGATAGAATCGTTAGAAATCCAACTGCACATATCAAAACATCAAGTCTAAATAAATAATATAATTGTACCAGTAAATGCCTGTAAAATATTCTTAACACCCAAATCAAAATCGATGTTATCGCCTCAGCCATCTGTTGTTTTATGTCATATGAAGCCTTATCGCTCAAATTATACAATTAAAACAGCTGGTTGATGATAAGGCTTTATATGACGTAGTTACAACAGACAGCCAACGAGATAAGGCTTTATATTACGTAGTTACAACAGAGGGCCGATGCGATAACATCGACTGCCACAGAGGGAACTTTGGTGGTCGCAAGCACCAGGAGCCTTGGAGGATGCTGGCGGCAGAACGGGATCTATAAGTTGCGGTTGGGTTTTTGTTTTGTTTTTTTTCTTTTGGAAATAAGTGGATTTAATGTTAGGAGAACTACAGTGAAGATGTTTTCTGTACTACTGTATTTTTAAGACGTGTTTTTAATCAATCATCTGGATTTTGACAGCTATTTTAACATGTGCATTATTAGGCCGGCGCATTATCGCCACCTACTGGATTAGATTAGGCAGCAGAGGCTTTGCAGTAGGGCGAGACCATCTTAAAAATATGTAGGGGGGTTTCATGCAACTATATTATTTATCTGTTAAGAATCTACACTTTCACTGATTTATATTTGCTTAATTTTATAAATAAGTATTGTTTATCATTCTAAATTTGTACTAGTTGTAATAAAACCGTAAAATTTAAGGTTTATACAATCCCTAAACTGTCACATAATGGTATGATCCAGCCAACAAAAACGCCTAACCGCCACCAACTAACGGTTCTGGTGTTGAAGATTCCCCGAACGCCGCTCGTCTTGTAAATCTACTTGCTCATTGCTTTCTGCTTCATCCTCACTCGTTCAGAAAAGAGAGAAAAATGGTAAGAATAATTAAACTTTTGTTTCGTTTTGACTTTTCACAGTATGGGAAATGAAAACTGAGCTGACTTTAGCTCTCAAAATTTGCGCGCCTATTTGAACAAAGTGCAATTTATTATCCATGGTATTATGACCAAATATTTTCAACCCTGATGTAAGTGTAAATGCATTTAAAATGGTCAGACTTTTCTTTTAATTGTGGCGGTGGCTCAAACCAACTGCTAACTGATTCAGTTACCCTTCAGTTGACAGTTAGCCTAATAGTTATCAAAGGACTTTGGCGCGCATTTAGTATTTGCTGAAATTATTTTTTTTCCTCGAGACATCCTGATGTTTTGGGAGTAAAGAAAAATACACTTTTTGTAGAAACTCTTTGGACTCCCGCCTATTTTTGTTTGTTTGTTTTGTTTTTTGCCGGTGTTCAGTTTTTTTTTTTTTGCCAGTGTTCAGTTAGCGGAGAGAAGTTTCTTAAACTGCTATAACGGTCCATTTATCTTTGAAGACAAACTTTGGTTCCGCTAATGCAAAATTTAGAATGAATTCCATCACTCTTTAACAGCCGTTTGGACAAAGAGCTTCATTTTCTAAGTACAAAACTATTAAGGGTTTGTCAAATATTTCATATCAGTGTAGCTGGCTGGTTTTATTGGGTTAGGGTCTAATCTATATCACTAAGTTATATAGATTATTTATTGATGAGTCCTTTTCTGTATTGATTCAGTTAGCTTTATAATGGTTTTGTTTCCCACAGATGACATGTTTTATCTGTGTCCCAGATTAAAATGAATCTTTTCTTCCTGTCCAGCGTGAGTGTATTTCCATCCATATTGGTCAGGCTGGAGTCCAGATTGGCAATGCCTGCTGGGAGCTGTATTGCCTGGAACATGGCATCCAGCCTGACGGTCTGATGCCGAGTGACAAGACCGCAGGAAGAGGAGATGACTCCTTCAACACCTTCTTCAGTGAGACCGGCTCTGGAAAGCATGTTCCCCGGGCCGTGTATGTGGACCTGGAGCCCACTGTCATTGGTAAGTCTCACCACTTGCTGGAGAGCAGTGAATGAAGCAGTTGACATCAAGGATTTGAATATGTGTTTATTAAAGTTTATGTAATGTGTGACTATTTGTTTTCCACCCCTCCATAGATGAGGTGCGCACTGGGACATACCACCAGCTATTCCACCCTGAGCAGCTGATCAGTGGTAAGGAGGACGCTGCCAACAATTACGCTCGTGGGCACTACACCATCGGAAAGGAGATCATCGATCCTGTTTTGGACAGGATTCGCAAACTGGTAAGATTATGGAATGAAGTAAATTTCAAATCATCTGGAAAGATAAAAGTAAATTTGTGTGACATGTGGATTCTGTCGGCCCTCCTCTGTCTTCAGGCTGACCAGTGTAATGGTCTTCAGGGTTTCCTGGTTTTCCACAGCTTTGGTGGAGGCACTGGCTCTGGTTTCACCTCCCTGCTGATGGAGCGCCTGTCTGTCGACTACGGCAAGAAATCCAAGCTGGAGTTCTCCGTCTACCCGGCCCCACAGGTGTCCACAGCCGTGGTGGAGCCTTACAACTCCATCCTGACCACCCACACCACCCTGGAGCACTCAGACTGTGCCTTCATGGTGGACAACGAGGCCATCTACGATATCTGCTGTCGGAACCTGGACATTGAGCGCCCCACCTACACCAACCTGAACAGACTGATGAGTCAGATCGTGTCCTCCATCACGGCTTCTCTTCGTTTCGACGGGGCGCTCAACGTGGATCTGACCGAGTTCCAGACCAACTTGGTGCCTTATCCACGTATCCACTTCCCTCTGGTCACCTATGCTCCTGTCATCTCTGCTGAGAAGGCTTACCACGAGCAGCTGACCGTGGCTGAAATCACCAACGCTTGCTTTGAGCCAGCCAATCAGATGGTGAAATGCGACCCTCGCCACGGCAAGTACATGGCCTGCTGCCTTTTGTACCGTGGAGATGTGGTGCCCAAAGACGTCAACGCTGCTATTGCCAACATCAAAACCAAGCGCACCATCCAGTTTGTGGACTGGTGCCCCACTGGTTTCAAGGTGGGCATCAACTACCAGCCTCCCACTGTGGTTCCTGGTGGAGACATGGCCAAGGTCCAGAGGGCTGTGTGCATGTTGAGCAACACCACAGCCATTGCAGAGGCCTGGGCTCGGCTCGACCACAAGTTTGATCTGATGTACGCCAAGCGTGCCTTCGTTCATTGGTATGTGGGTGAGGGCATGGAGGAGGGAGAGTTCTCCGAGGCCAGGGAGGACATGGCTGCACTGGAGAAGGATTACGAAGAGGTCGGAACCGATTCTATTGAAGGGGAGGGTGAGGAAGAAGGAGGGGAATATTGAAATGGCCTCCTAAAACTAGTTCTGTGTTTTAAGTCTTTTGTGGTCTGTTCTGATGTTTTTCTACTTGCTGTTTTTGTGCTCAAATACTTTGAGATGTTGACAACACTTTTAAAGAGCAGAGCCAATTTTGAAGGGGAATTTTTATAATTGCAATATACTTGTCTTTGTTTCAACTTTGTATTCCCATTTCTAGGAAGAAACCAATTCTATTTTTATTGCTTATCCAATACATGTTTGTGAATGAATAGGAAACAATCTTAAGTCTTTTCAGTAATCAGTTTTCTGTTTTGCCTTATTAAATTAGATTTAACATGTAGAAATAGTCAGAGACTATTTCTGTTCTGTGAAAATTTCTGTGAAATGTTTGAATTGTTGCCTTGTGCCTGTTCACAGGGAGTTGCATTAATTCTCTGCAGTACGTGTAGCGTTTGTTTGGTGAATTGGAAATTTTTTATGTATTAGATTAATAAAAACTAAAAACTGAGTATTTGAGTTGGTTGTTTAATGTTTTCCACACAATGAAAACAAACAGAATAACCTGTTTTATCTCGTGCCTAAATTCTCACAAATAAATTATTTTATTCAGTAGGTTAAGGTAGCTTTCATATCTGTCTAAGATTGACTGACCAAATTGTCAACAAAACAGATAACCTTGTGAGAGTATTGAATATTTTTTTTTCCCTTTTTACACTGCAAATTCAGCACAGACTATTCACAAGGTTGTGATGGTTGATCAAATCACTGATCCACAGTGAGACAACCAAATTAATGTGACTCTTTGTAAAGACCGGGGGTTCTGCAGTCTGTTCTGCTTGAGCTGAATGGAGAGAAACGGGAGTGAGGGGCACAGATATGAATGCATTTCTAATAGTAATGTCTCCAGCACTACGAATGCTGAGGAATGCAGTACGATCAGTTCATTCCAGTGAATAGGTGCCCAGCATATTTTAAAAGACCCCAGAGGTTGGAAATACAATCCAGTCTTTTCCTGCATTGCTGCTCATCTCTATGACCTGACAAGCAGACAGCTAAGGATGAGAACCAACTTCTCCATAATCGTCATATGAAGCTGAAAAAAAAAACCCTTTAAATTTTATTGGATATTGGGTGCAGAAGTGAAAGCTTAACACATGCGTTGAATCTAATTTCTGATCATTGCGCCTCTGCTGCCTTTCAAGAAAGCAAGGTAAGAATACCTTCTGATTTTCTTCTGCGTTACTTTTGTTTTTTATTTGTCTTGTTTTTGGTAATTAGATGAGATCAAAATAAAACATTTATCTGTCGCTACTCACTTAAACTTGTAGATAAACTTGTTTATTATCGGAGTAGAACTGGGCGGTATGGACAAAAAGAAAGCTGAAATCGTTTCCTGTGTTAAACGATTTCAATTATAGTAAATCATACATTTTCAAATCAACAATAAAGTTTTGAAAAAGGCATTTTTCCCCAATACAAAACATTAACATCTACTCAGGTTCATTATAAAATACTTAAAAAGTTAATTTTAGTAACTCAATTCACTAGGTGAAACGCATCATATAAATTAATTACAATCCAATTCAGGTTTTCAAGCTTTTATTTCTGTTAATTACTTCCAGCTAATAAAACATGTAATTTAAGATAAGAATCACATAAAACACACTTTTAATACTGAAATGTGAGCTTGATGAAAACTTTAATACCTGCTTAAACGTCAGTTCATAAAGGTACATTTAATATCACAAATTAGCCTCATTGGAAGACATGTTCTAATTTATTGAATATGACTGTGTTGATGAACAACAATAATTTCCACTAATCAATAATGCAAATGCATTATAGAATAAACTTAAAATCAAGCTTACACCACTGGGTGCTTCATGAACTGCCTCATGGGTTACATGGATTTTCCATCTAATTGAATAATAAAGACTTAATTTATTGCCGTTATTCAAAATTTTTTGTCCCTGAATAAAATATTTATACTGTTTAATTTCCGAATCCCAGCACTATGTTAGCGCAATCACAAAAGCTTTCCAACATACTGATCGTTATAATCAAGACTCAACAAGGACAGGATGGGAAGAGAAATAAATTAATTTCCAAAAGTCACTTTTGGAGAATTGTGTGGACCCTTTGACATCAATAACCATAACGGAGTATTTTTTAAATAAACGATACATACAAGCAGCAGGTCAGTTATTTTAAGACACTGAAAAGGCCCAAAACGTCTATTTACCAGCTGATGGTGCTGTTGCCTCAAATTGAAGCGGTTTGTTGTTTCTTGAGGCTGTTTTGATGAAAGGAGAGAGATTTAACTGAAGAATATTTCAGTTCATACAGAAACAAAATATGACACCAAAGCACTTAAAATGTTTACATTATTCAACTATTTTTCTTTAAAGGATGAATATCTACATCTTCTTCAGTTCCTTCTCTTTATAAAAGCGTCTTAATCTGTTCCACACGTTTCCTTGTTTCTTTAGACTGCTGCAGATGTTTCTTGATTAAAGAAATAAACTTTGTCAGAAGGTCAGAGACAGACAAAACACAAACGACTCCTTTGGATTTATGAAGTTTGGCTAAGAGCTAGAAAAGAGTTGGTAAAAGGTCATCAAGTTGGAATTAGGGAGGTTATTATAGTGTGGAATAAGTATTTTATAGAAAGTTTTAAATGATATAAGAATATGCCACGTTGAATAAAAAAACATTGTGCGCACAGTCTATTTCAGAAGTTTTCATCCACATGAATCTGCACAAATGCATCCCTAATCACTGTTTTAAACATGCCACACCGCTAGGGGGCAGTGTAGCGCAAAGCTAAAACCTGTCAGCCAATCAGAGTGCTTCAAAACAACCACGACTTCCAGGCAGCAATTAAACATGGCGCCAGCAAGTTCATGTGTGTGGAACTGTTTTTAAATCGCGTAGTAGAATATCATTAAAACATGACGATGCCGATTGGAAATCATGTAAAGCAAGTATGTGGATATTAGCACATCATTTGCCACAGACTGTAAAACCCCAAATCTCTGTTTTCCCATGTACACACGCAAACACATTTTTTAAAATAATTGTTTCTAGTGGTATAGAACTGAAAGACCAAAATGCATGAAAATGTATTAGTTTTCCCAAATATCTGGCTACATGTGATCTAGCTATTTTTTTCTTTTTTCCTAAAATGTAACATTCTCTACCTAAAAAGAAATCCTTTGCTGTGCTATGGAGAGTTTCATGAAGCAGAAACGTAGCAGGAACTCACAAGCGTTTCAGGTTGCAGAGCTGTCAAGCAGGAAGCCTCGTTCTCTGGTGATCACAGTGAACAATGCGTTCAGGTCGCCAGCAGGAAGAACAAGATGCTACCTCAAGGAATAACTAAGCAACAAAAAACTGAACACCTCAGTCACGTTCACAGGCGTCAGACAGGAAGAGCAGAGAGTTCACTCTCATTTTTTGAATACATTATGTACTAGGATTAGAAGCCTTTTTGGCAGTATCGAAATTAGTGTATTTTGCAAAACTGCAATGGAAACAGTTTTTTTTTTTTTTTGCATCACACAAGTCATGTGACCCACAACCGGATGTTACTACTTGCAGAAAAGACAGAGACAACAGGAAGTGGTAGGAGGATGATGGCATAATATGCTTTTTAGTAATTTATCATGTTAACTATCTTATTCACGTGTATATTTGTGTGGAATTAATGGAACCAACGCAATTGTGATAGCGGAATATCAACAAATTCTTGCTCACAATTGTAATGAAACCGCAGCTAGTGAGCAAAGATCACCATTCAGATGCATTTAATTTAGTTTAGTCCTTTTAGTATACTATTTTTGGTGCTTAGTCCACTCACCAATCCCATTCAGTCTTTGATGCTGCTGAGTGAAAAAGAGACCAGCAAAGTGAAATATTGCTGTTGTGTTTTTACTCTGTTCCTATCAATACTGGCCAACAAACTGGGTTTGTCAAATTTGGCTTATTTTTTTAAATGCATTTTGTTTAGTCAACAAATTATTTTCTCCTAATATTTATTGCTGTTCACCTCATTCCTAGCCCCCATGAAGCTTTGCGTGAATTATGGCTGCTACTTCCGCCGTAAACCGGAACCGGCATTTGTTTACATGCTAGCGACGCGCTAACCGGCTTTCGCAGACTTTTTAGGCTATAAAATATGTGGGAACACTAGCTGTCACAGATTAAATGTGCCAATATTGTTTTTACCTACAGCTATTGGAGGGTGGGAGAATGACCTGAAGAAGTGGCTGCTAATAACCTACAGTAGCATATTTAGCTACTTCACTGAGTCCGTTGCTTCGGATGATTAGGTTATGTTGCGCTTGACAGTTGGTTACCATAGAAACCAGTGACCGTCCACTCCTCCCTTCTTTTTTTCTCTGCGTTTTCTTCCCCAGGATATTTTGACATATTTTTAACAAACCTCGTCACACACAGGGTTTCATGTGTAATTTCGCCATGTTTCGTATGTTTTAACTTATCAAAATTAATGTTAATTTCAGCTGCAAATATTTTATTAGTATGGTGTAGTATTAGAATAGTTTACTAGGTTGTAAACTATTCTACTAGCAGAATGTGGTTAAACACAGTCCAGTATAATTAGAAATAAACCCAAACTAACACACAAACAAAGCCCTTTATATCATGAAAAACAGACAAAAAAAACCCAAACAAATTTAGTCCAAAGGTAAACATTGTAAGACCCTCAGAGAGCCTAAAGAACCAGTAATCCAAGAAAGATTAAAAGAAAATGGCTGCTTTGAAGCAGATATAAAAACATTGTAGCAGCTCAATGAGATGTTTTTATTATTATAGTAACAAGTGCCTCTCTTATAAGAATGATGTGCTCTGTGTGAAATAGGTACAACCAGGCTCTTTCAAAACAGAGTTCCTTCATTCAAACAAAGAGAGGAAATAATCAGGTTCCTTTGGGCTTCTGGTCGGCACGTAACACATGAGAGATCAGGAGAGCCAGTACTGTTTATTCATGTAACCTCATAAGTCCTATGAGTGCAACTTTAACATTAATTTATGGCGGATTTGATTTAAAGAGACCCAAGGAGGAAATGAGGGAATCTGGAGCACATAGAGCTGCAGTGATAATGACGTTACTGGGGGTTTGTCGTCACCTGGGGGCAGCAAAAACACCTGGATGCCAATTTGTTCACACCTACAACAATTGCAATACTTTCTTCCTATAATAGTGGATTCATATGTCGCCATGCAGTTGTTGGAATCCAAGCAAAATAATAATTTCTTTGTATCCAATAGAATCAGACCAAGTTAAATTTTGTCTCTTTTATTTGTACCTTGATTTTTGAAGTGATTTTAACACCAGATGTTGTGGTAACCACCTTGTAAATCATTTAAGGTTTGCAGATAATTTGGTTCCTTCGTCTCTCTACAGCGCTGGGCTGCAGCAACTACTCCATGCTAAATATGGTGTCCAGTTTGACGTGCTCAACCCTAAAGCGAATGTTATGATTGCAGAAGCTCAATTTTTCATTTAGTAAAGTAAAATATTTAGGTCATATTCTACAGTGATCTTTGTGATGACGAAGAGGTGAAGAGAGACTGGTGGTGAAACTACAGTAAAATAGTCAAGAAGAAACTGCGTTTAGCGTTTCAGGATGCATTTAAAAACATCTGCAAGTCAAATGTTTTTCATGAGCAACATTTCTACTTTTCCTGCGTTATTGAGGTACTACATATTTAAATTTATGCACCAGTTGAGTCAAGAGCTCTGTTGACTATAGTGACATTTTTAGCTTTAATAAACATCAGAGCGACTGTTCTGTGGTTTGTCTTTTGTTTTTATTTCTATGACAGACTAAGTTAGTCTTGAATAAATTTATTTTTTTACATCTACATACATATTTATAGCGTAGAGTTGTGGATAACTAGAAATTAAATAGTTTTCTAAAAACACATCAGTGCAAATTTATCACACTGTTTTTGTTTGTTTAAATAATAAAGCCATCTTTAATTTTTTTCATTTACAGCCATTATCATTAAACGGAATCTGTGTCTAACAAACTAAAAGATAAAATAACGGTACCATATCTCCAGCTCGATGTTAAGTATTGAAATGAGTTATTTACATTTACTGTATAAAATAAAGCCCTTTATCCTCAATGACATGAAATCAGTTTTCCTGTTTTACGTCAGACTTAATTCAATTATTTATATTCACTTAATGTCAAAATTATGAGTCCGATCCATTTTTTAGAGAATTATTTTATCTTATTTTTTTCTTTTTCTGAAATGCATCAAAGCATCAGACATAATATGTTGACATAATATTTTGTTTTTGGGTGTGAAAGCTGAACTTTCCAAGATCACCACTGTGCTCTTTCTTTTACTGCATCACTTTTTGACAACTTTGTTGAAACCTTCAGCGGTTTTGGCCGACCTGAGAGGGAAAACAAACCTGGATGCCAAAACCTTTGCAGCTCTTTATCAGAACAATGACCCATAAAGTCATTTCCCCACTGAGCCGTGACCGTTACTGACAGGATGGAGATAGGAGGATACCTGTCCGTCAGCCTTCAAAGAGCAAAGTCCATGGCAGAACAACATGTTTACTTTCTCAAGAAGAGTCCAAACAGGGTGAGACAGGAAGGAATCAAACACTTTGGTCCTCAGACGCCCATAAAGCTTTCCTAAAACCGTTTAAACACATAGCAGTCTTGATGCGTTAGACATTAGAAATAATTACACCGCCTCCTTTTTCGTAGTTACACTGAAGACTTTTGTTTGACTATAGAAATTATTTTAAGCTGCACTTCTCCTATTCAGACTGAGGGAGGCATTAAATTGTAGTTACAGCAGTTCGCCACCAGTGGGCGTATAGAACACAGTGAGCACTCCTAACGGCGCTATCACTATTGTGTTAACAGGTAAAAATAAATTAGCGCTGCGATTTATGTTAGCTGACTTGTATAGAAGGTGAAATAACCTGATATTTGAGCAAAATATATGAATGTTTAATTGTTTGAGCCAGATTGTAAGTAGTTATTTACTGAGCAACCAACGGAAATTCAGCACAGTAACGGCTAATCAGGCGATCACTTTCCTTTTTATCTGTGTTAACAGTTGTCAACAATTTAATAAAAACCCTGCGAAATGACACTGATTAGTTAAGTTTGCAACACATGGAAACTCAAGAGTTTGGAGAAAATAAGAAAAGTCCATCTTGACCTGTGCCAATCTGTCTAAATTATGCTTCATCTCTTGCCCAACAATGTGTGTGTGTGTGTATATATATATATATATATATATATATATATATATGAACCGGATACATTCATTGGTATAATTTCCACCTAACTCTAAAGTTAGGTGTGCAAACCCTAAAGCACAAATCATCAACATTAGTTCTACAAACTAACACCAACAGGATATCACTAGACTTTAAATTGTTACAGTAGGTCTGCTGCAATGCATTCTGGGTACAGACTAAAGACAGTTGCTGCTCTAGATCAGGGATGGAGAAGGAGAGGAAAGGAAATGGAGCTTCTGCGTAAACAGTCTTTGCTCACTTCAAAATAAGAGCATGAATACAAACATCTAGCTACCTTTAGATTTGTAAAAAGTCAACCAAAAAGTCATCACAGACGTCAAACTTTATTGAACATTCACAAAACAGCAAATTAATTAAAGTAAATTATTGCTTTAGAATTTATCTGGAAAAATTAAATTGGGAAAAGTTAAGTGCGCTAAACATCTTCAAAGTTAGCATAAAAGATAAACGATCAAAGTAAACTGCTTATATCCAGTTATAGATGGAGATTTTCAGCCATCAAACTGTTCAAAGGTTTCAGGTAGATTCTCCATTTTTCCACCTCAGATATTATATTATGACTGTAATGTTACAACTTTATGAGTCAAAAAGTGCAGAATTAGAGAACTGCATGTGTAACTTGGGAGAATTTCTCTCCTTTTCCTCCTCAGCTCTCTTCCATCATTAAACTGAGAAGTTGCGTCTCGTTTTCTGCTTGCACGTTTACAAAGGGTCAAAGGTCAGTTTATAGGTTATCGATCCTGTGAGGGAGAATCGGTCGAAGTTTTCAACTTCATTGAACCCAGAAAAGTTTGTTGTCAAGCAGACGGGCATCTGACTGCAACGTTTGTAAAATAAACGTTAAATAAAAAGTAATGGATATACAGAATTTAGCAAAACAAAAAGTTAATAAAATTAATGTTTTTATTTATAAATATGAAAAGTATGGAATGGATGTTTATATAGTTTAGGATGAAAACTGTAGAAAAGGAGCTGGATCAGACGTCTGCAGCCTTTACAACTTATAGAGCCACTTTCACTCTCAGCCCAGACACATAAAACTTGTTTAGAGGTTTTTTTTCTTTTTGGAAAAGAAGAAAATATTAGATAAATATCTACTATAAAAAAAAGAGTTTATTTCTATTTTCGGATTTAAAATAAAAGTTACATAAAATTTAGCAAAAAAGACAAAAACTGATCTAGAATCATATGATTCGTAGTTTTA